GCAAGATAATTATATTTTTGTTGAGCGTGATATGTAATATGATGTCTGTATATAAATGTGTACTTTTATTTTTGTACCTTTGTTTTTATGTTGAAAGTTGTTTTCTTTCATCACTTCTATAAGAGTTCTTATAAGGATTTATTGCATCTAAAATAAGTAAATAAAACACTGAATTTAGGAGTGTAGCGTCACATCGCGGGGACATTATGTAGATTACATAAAGCTCAATAAAATACAAACTAAATCTGTGTCTACTTAAATAAATTGGGATAATTGGATGAATAATTTACTACTCGTCGTGTATAACAAGTGTGAATCTCAGAAAGAAAATATAATAAAATTGTGCGTCGGGATATTTTCTTATGATCGAAAAGGATATGCGGAAAGCAATCAGTTAAAAAGTGCAAACGAAACAAGAAAGGCCACATAGGAAGCACAAATGTGAAATACAAGTTAGTCTTCAAATATACAAATGGTACGGGCCACACAGATCTGGAGATGCCTAGAGCATATTTTGTTATTCAGGGTCAAAAATGTTGTCACCTGGAACAATACACATAGCTAGATGTCAGTAAATTCTTAATGCGTTCGTACCTCGCCAACAAATGCAGGAGCGGGTTAAGCTGTCAATAAGCAAATGGTTTCACCTTACAATTGGCGTTTTTGGACTGACGTAGTAAAACATCTACTGTGTATAAGCACGGGAGAAAAGCAAATATACGAAACTCGGATACTGCAAAGTAGATTTTTTTTATTTATCTTTGTATTGCTTTTTAGATTACTTCCTCAATTGACCCGTGAAAAGACGTTAGGTGCAACCGGTCGCATAGAAGCACCTCTGTTTTGTGACTTTAAAAGTATAGAATTCGACGATCAAAAAACCTATCATACATGTATCATGCAAGGAACCTCTATATCAATCACTATTCAGGAGCTTACTCATAAAAAGCAACTTGCAAGCAGTTCATGTAGAAGCGTTGACTATCTGCTGCTAGCCGCCGAATATCACGAAAGGTCCAGTCGTAGTGGTTCATTATCCATCGAATATGCTGGCATTTTCACTCTTATTTTTTTTGTGATTTCACTAATGTTTGCAATTTGATAGACCTAAAGAAAGCTAGCCAGCCACGTTATCATGTCATATCTGTCTACGCAGTATTGTCAGGGATACTAAGAATCCGGAGCAACCGACATCCAAACAAGTCACTTCATCAAAAGTACGTTCACAAACGGCCCTACGTCCAATACTTTTACAACCCATTGAAAACAATCTGAACTTTAGAAAAGTATTTATAGAAGTGTTTTCCAAAAGGATTATGAACTATTGTTCACATAATTAAAAAAAATTGTCTGCAAAAAATATGTGGCTAACTAACGGCGTCATTATTAGGTACGCACCCTTATTCACAACTAATTACAAGGTCACTTGTTGCGTCACGAAAGGCCACAATTGGTTTTGCTTTGCCGCCTTTCTGCCAACTGGATGGTTGTCCGTAGCAAGCCCACCTAATCACTGTGTCCCCAGTGACTGTTCAACAGCGCACTCACACAGAATCGTGACTAGTTACACTGTGCATTTTGTCCCTAACGTTACAGTTCAGCAAACATGACACTGAACACCTTTGCGTTTTGCTCATATTGACATGTGAGCACATTCAATCAAGTCTTGCTAGAAACGAAATGGCAAACGTCTTATGCGTCCGACGGCTGACCAAGGGAGAGAAATTGCCACTGTCTTCGTTTTGATCGCAGCCCACTGGGAAATGTTGAGTTATTCAGTGGACGGTGGTTAATAGGGACTCCTGAAACCTGCACGAACATATTCCTCCTGAGCACTTAAAAGACCGATCGATACTTTACATCGGGGAACCTTCGTGTTCCAAAGTACGTATATACGAGGCAGAGTTAAGAAGTACGCGCGATATAGTTTAGATCTCCATATCAATAAAAACAAAACTGGAAGCAATAGTCCAACCCCCCCCCCCCCCCCCCCCCCCAAACCCCGCCTTTAACACAAATTCTCCAACGCTCGACCTCCGCGTGGATGCTGTGCAAGAAACATCTTACTGGCGACTCCGAAGCCAAGGTTGCGCCTCCGCTTTCAGTTCATTGCCTGTACGGAACTTCATTCCACCGCGAATTGTTTTAAGTAGATGGACCAAGTTAAGATCGCTCGGTGCCAGGTCGTTTGAGTATTGAGCATGGCGGATCAGGAATACACCGAAAATGTAAACCCTTGATATTTTTGCTCTGTCGCACGTGCCGTGTCGGTTCACGCACAGTCGTGCTGCAGCAATACATCAAAAGTCAGCAAACCACGGCGCTTTGTCCTGATCACGGACTTTAAGTTGTTATCGAGGAGGTTACAATACAACGTTTTGTTGATACTGATTCTTCTGAAGATGTAATGTTTCACTCCTTGTCGTTTGTGGTCTTATAAAAGTGTGAGGATTATCTTGCCCTAAGTTGGAAGTTCCAGGATCTTTTGTCTTGGTGGTTTAGGGTACCTCCACTTTTCGCTTAACCGCTTAGTCTCTGGCTGTTCATTGTGAATTTAAGATTAACCGCCAGTGACAATGCGTCAAAAAATTATAGCTTTTATCTTCATAGGGTCGAAGCAGCGCCTCCCAGATATTCGCATGGCGCTCTCTAATGTCTGGTGTAAGATATTGGTCCCCACCTAGTGGTCAATTTATGGTATTTCAGGATACCGTGAATCGCGTGGTGCATCGAGCAATAATTAATGTTCAATTCAACCGCCATTTCATTGATTGGGGCAAGGTGGGGTGTTCTGTGCAAGCCGCTAAACTACTGATTTTGAGTGCGGAGGTGTCGAGTTGTATGCCCGGTCGGAGCACCAGTCAGATTTGACTCCACGCTTTGAAACTATTTATACCACTCGTACGCCTGTCGAAGTAATATACAGGTGCATCCATACTGCTTCAACAACCAGCGACGAATATTCGCCCTTTGCACCAACAAACCTGTTTACTGAGCGCTGCTTCTATCTTGGTGCACGTCTCAAGTGGCGGCCATTTTGAGAGTTATGTGGTCACGTGAAATTTTTAGTGAGACGCTAAGCCAGCGGGCGTAGCTTAATTCAGTTGAAGGGCCACACAATATTTGGAGCACAGCAGGCTATTACTGTATTTAAAGATTTTAATAACTAAATTCTGGATACTTTTTTTAATGCCTCGTACAAGCTCAGGTTTTATATGGCAGGCACCGGTGGGCTCTTCCACCTAAAGTAGTGCCAGGAAGTCATAAATTCCAGGTAGGACAAAAAAGAAAGGTGAACCGCTTCCGATTAAGTCTACACCTACAGAGAAAAGATATGTCTACAGGTTGAAGTAAAATGTACTTCTAGACCGTGCACAGGTGGTTGCGCCGTCTTACTAGTCTAAAATAAACTCCCTGTAAACTTAAAAAAAAAAAACTGGCTTTTTTTGCTGGCTTTTTGTGGTCTTGAAGCCCACAATTGCTTATCTGACAGATCGACGTAAAAAGTCTTAGATTATTTGGAGGCAGATGAATTGCCCTGAACTGATAATTAAAACAGGCCTGCTATGAGAAAAATAAAAGGACTAAAAACTTCATCTAAAATTATCTCTCTCTGCGGGCAACAATTGTTATCGTGTACGTAAGAGACAAAAAATCTTCGTTATCAAAGTTATACATTCTGCCCCGTAGCTGCTTGGCACTTCTTGTTTTTACACAAATTACAACCGGGGCTTCGTTAACTATTTTACATTTCAGAGTTGATGCGAGCTCTCGCACTATAGTTCTAATAACGGTCGACAAAAAAAAAAAAAAAAAAAACTCATCTCACAAGCTATAGATTTTTGAGACTCCTTGAAAGCTTCTCATACAGACTTAAAAAAAAATTCTGAGCAAATGTAACAATATTTTGCGCGATATGTTTTTACAGGTATTGCGACGGATAAAAGTATTATGCGAAATCAGCGCCTACTTAATGAGCTGAATTGTTTACAATAATTGTTGTCGGCGAAAGAGTAAGCCGAAATGCAGGATTTCTAACCCTGATGAAAAAGAAATTGCCTTTCATTTATGGTGTGGCTGAGGTCTGCAATCTCGAATTCTCGAAATAAAATATTGCGGCTCGTTCATCGGTTCTAAAAGGCCGGTAAAATAAGAAGAAAATGACTTTCCATCGCTTTCACAACGGCTGCAAATTGGAGCGGATATTCTTTTTTTTTCTACTTCCAGTGCCTCCGTCCGCTGCTCTAGAGATCCATTTTGATTCCCAGAAATGAACTATGATTGTTCTGCTCCTCGTGGCGGACACCCCTAGAAGTCAGAGTCTACCATCACGCCGGTCGTCGTCCCAGTGAGAACCGTAGAAAGTAACCGACAATTAATGAAAATACTCACAAAGAAAACAATGCCTCACAATCAGACTCGCCTGTAAGCAGGAACCAAGAATAAGGAAAACATAAAGAGAGAGAGAGAGAGAAAGCAAGAAAAACCTGGAGGGGATTGCTACCAAAACTTCTCCTACGTCACATTCACAGAATGTAAGAGCCGTAGGCTTGGCATCCCAGCAAAATAGGCTTCGAACTTCTCGCAGTAATGACTGGTTCAGAACCAGTTCGACTGACAAAGCCCAATTTAGAAAAAAGGCACCTCACGGCTTTGGGAAAGGGGATCGAATACCCCGAACGTCTCATCGTCCGTTTGAAGAACTCTCCCTCGCATCCCCAGCGCAAGGTCAGACGGGCGTCCCTGCACGCTCTAAAGGGCTATGCGGGATTGCTGAAAGAGAACGGCAATATATTTGTTTGGCAGTTGTTGCTTCTCTTTGCAGGTGAAAAACGTAGTGGCGCCATTCTGCCATGCTTCCTTTACTTTTTTTTTCCAAAGCAAAAGATTGTATATAAACCGAGAGTCACAGCGATGTAGGCCCACAGATACGCAGAGGAACCCAGCTCATTCAAGACTCTAAAGATCACCTTTCTCTCGGCAACCAACTCAGAATCAACATGAAGGTGCGTTACTGCGGTCGTAGCATCTTCTGGCAGACAGTTAATGAACGTCGCGTAATCATGCCTTTGAATGGTTTTGATATCACTTTGAATTATGTCGAAAGTGTTCTCATTCAGTTTATAATTTTAACATATGTCATAATTACAATGTTACTTCAGTTTCCCAAAATCGGATATCTCGCGAACTGCCGACTGGAATTCGATGCCACATGAGCGGATCTAAACGAAGTAAAGGCGACAACTATGTCCGTATAAAACGCTAATAAATACACTTTTTTGACGATCCTTGAGAAGCTAAAATTTAAGGAAGAAATATTGTTTTACGCGAAATCTTCTTTTATAGGAAACCTGATTTTCGCTTCACTGTATTATGCTCCTTACTACTTACACAGCCAGAAATAGAATACATAAGATAGCAGCAGTGTGTTCGAGTCTATAATTACCACAAAAAAAAAAGAAGAAAAAAAGTCTCAATTAGCACTTCGTACTGCACCTGTCAAAATATGTTCAACATTTTGTTCGCAAATCAATATTAATTTTCCACGTAATGTTTGACAGTTCCTGTCTATTGCCGTCCTGGCCGTCGTTGCCTGCGTCACCTTCGCCGAAGAGGCCAAGGAGGACGACAAGCTCGACGCCCGTGGTGGTGTCCTGGGAGCCGGCCTCGGTGCCGGGGGAGTCGGCTACGGAACCGGTCTTGGTGCCGGAGGCCTGGGGTACGGAGCTGGTCTCGGTGCCGGAGGTCTCGGTGCCGGAGGTCTCGGTGCCGGAGGTCTCGGCTACGGAGCTGGTGTTGGTGCCGGAGGACTCGGTTATGGAGCTGGTGTTGGCCCCGGAGTCGGTGTCGTAAACCCCGGTCTCGTTGGCGGTGGCCTCGCTAACTCCGGCCTGGTCGGAGCTGGTCTGGGTGGTGTGGGTCTCGGTCACGGAGTTGGCCTCGGCGGCGTTGGTCTTGGCCATGGCTTTGGATCTGCCTACGGTCAGACCGCTGGTGCCAGCCAGGGTGGATTCAAGAAGGGAGCTGGTGGACTCAGCCAGGGTTCCGGTGCCTTCGCTGGCGGAAGCTCCAAGGACAACGTGCAATCCTACAACCACCAGTCTGGGTACACCTCCAACACCGGCTTCTCTTCTGGTGATGCTAAGAACTTCGGTGCCGGGCAGAAGCAGGGATCTTCAGGATTCGCCGGCGGGGCCGGCGCTGGACAGGCTGGCTACGGACAGAGCGGTTTCGGAAAGGTCGCCGCTGGTGGCGTCGGAGTGGGTGGTCTTGGCTATGGCCTCCATTAAAGGTGGGTTGTTCGCATCCTCTTACCATTAGCAAGTACTGTGTTTCCAACCAAAAAAAAAAGATCATGAGGAGTTTTATAAGGAGGAGTTTCAGTCGTCACGGCAGAGTCAACCGCAGTGCCTTAAACGTCAAATACAGCGTTCCTTAGAAATGTATTTCATCTATTTTGATTCAGGCTTTCTACGGGCTTTTTAATTACCTTTAAAATTTGTTTCTTTGATTCAATTCAATGGCAATTAAGGATACAAGACATCTTGCTCAGCTGACAAGCATGTTCACACACGTGACAGGATTATTTTTTGTATGCACAAAACATTTATGCGGTATAATTTGCGTGCGGGTTAATTTTTTACAGGGGAAGAGTGTCTACAGCTCAGATAAAGCATCTTAACTGTCACAATAAAATGTTGATTTGAATCGTCGTCAATAAAATGAAGTGAACTATACAACCTCAATTTGATTTTAGGGCAACATAAACACTACTAGCGATGTAGAATTGCGAAATATTAGCGGCAGACATCGTCATCCTAAAGCTTTCAAATTATGTCCTAAATAGTCCTGTCTTCGTATTACTTTCGTCTTAATGATAAACAGTTTTTAATGAGTTAAGTGGGTGAAAGAGTGTTATCATGAACGTTTTATTTCTCTTTATTTCTTTACAGAATGTCCCAGGTTCTGAAGTCAATTCCTGCTACGTTCCTGTTTTATTGGTTCCTAACACCAATTTGCTTCAAGCATGCTGTTTTGTTTTCAATAAACAACCTTCAACTACGCAGTATTTGTTGGTGATATCTATTACATTTATAAGCTCTAAAAAAAACAAAAAAAAACTTCTGGCATTTCCATGAATTCTAATCTGTAGAAAGTGGAAGAGCCTGAGGGTTAGGCTAAGGTACATTTATTTATTTATTTATTTGCATTGGACCTTTTTTTATTTCCAGGTTTGCATAAAACAATTCAAAATAGATGCGAAAAACTGTATGTTGGGAACGGTAATAGACACGCGTTACCCAACACATATCTCAAGAGTTAAGTGAAATCTAGCCTGTCTTGCTAGAGTAAGTGAAGTTAAAAGGGTTTTAAAGTTGCCAGCTCATCCAGAACAGGCAGCCACTCAAGGTCACTGTTGATCTTTTTGTAGCATTCCCGGAGGCGTTTAACGCTGTCAATGAAATACTCCCGGACAGTACGGGCGTTTACGTTTGCATGACCGTACCTCCATTCGACGTTTCCATATACTGTGGAGCCCCAGGAGCAGGATTGTGTCATATGGTACCGGTTCACTGTCTGCCGTTAGAAAACGAATCACATACGGTGTTAACGGTAGTTCTTTTTTGATTGTGCGCTGGAGCACGTCCCAGTATAGCAAAGCATCCCAACAATCGAAAAAGACATGCTCGATACTTTCCGGCTACTTGCATAATTGGCAGTTTACTATCCAGTACAAATTTATTCCTTTAGCTTCTAAAAAGTTTTTACGGGCAGTGTTTCACTATGTAATTTAAGAAAGAAAGTTTTAACCCCAGGGGGAACCAACGCTTTTTTAACACGTTTTAGCACGTCCTGTCCGGGGGCTCCAGCGTATATGGAGCTATACCGTGGCAAGGGCATTAACACATCCACCAAATCTCGCGTTAACCTTTTGCGCGATACAACAGACAAATAATCCCGAGAAAACCTTACAAATAGGAAACGACACGATGATACAACCTCTCTCAAAAAACGCGATAATGTTCCGTAACGAACACGGCATGACGAAACCACATAACTGGGCAACACATCAAAGAGCTTTGTTTGTATTACCGTGCGCAGGAATGGTCAGATTGATCGCGCACAAACATAAATCGTGTTACGAGTTGACGGATGAAGTGACACAGACCATCACCACCATCTCAAGGTCAAAGGAAAAGATTGGCTCTACTAGTCCGCTCCCACTGAGACGCCCAAATGAATACTGCAAACACCCGGTGCATTCGCTGAATATTGACTCTAGAACAATGTAGGATTTGAAGAACGTACCATAGTTTCGACATAAAGAACAAGTTACAAACTGTCGCACGTGCGAAGATCGACAATTTTTTCGTTACCCACTTTTCCGCGTTTGCCTTCAGTTGATTAGTTTTCCCCAGCCAGTAGTCGTTATTTTCGCGATAATGTTTTAACGGGACACCCAGATACCTTTGGGGTTCCCGAGCCCACTGGATATTTTTAAAAAGGTTTGGCGCAGAAACACACTCTCCGTGCCATAGCCCATTAGCCCCGAGAGCGAACACAAGCGTCGCTGCGGTCGCCGCGCCCTGATTGGGTGAGGTGTACTGTGACGTCAGGGCGATGACTCCGCTCCGCGATCTCGCATCGGCTCGCTTCCCAGCACCGGTTTCCTGGTTTGGCGTTGTGTGCCGCAAACACTTCGAGGAGCTGGACTTCGTTTACCCGATGTACAAGACGTTGAGTTAGGCCGATATTGACCAGCTTCCGTACATTTTATAAGCCTGCTCGTCCCTTTTCCCTTTAAAAATGGGTTACAAATCCCGAAAGCTATCGGCGGAGGCAATTCCGCCGATGAGCCTCCCCGTCCGTCCACACGACACAAGGCAATTTCGCGAGGGATCGGTGAAGCGGTGGCGCAAGTGTTTCAGACGCTGGAATTCTGTTCCTTGCATGTTCATGATTTAGGACGATTATACATCCCGCTTTCAAGGCATTTGAAGTGGCATTTATATCATGTGCCTTTGAATGGTCGGCAAATTAGCTCGCGACCCCGACTTTGCGCTGCCACTCTGCATGAACTGGTTCATAGATGTTTTAAAGGCCCTGTGTCTGATTATCTCTGAAGTGCTCGTGGAACAGGATCGTTTTGCATAAATCTAGCTTCTTCGTGAATTAATTATATAGTTTATACACGTATGCAGGCATATTTCTTAGAAGATGCACAATTACTGGAAATTAGTTTGTATGGTAGCAGCAAAGACGGCCGAATTGCCCCCAGTTGCCTGTATGATATGTATTGAACTGCCCAAAATATGCACAGCAATAGTGCCGTAATTTGGAATGTTTATACTCTTTCCTGACATTTGTATTCCATCCTTGGGTATTCAGAAAAAACACCGTTTAGTCTGAATTGTCATTTCCAATTAAAAGAGACACTGCTGCAGGTCTCCAAAAGCTTCCTCAGCCTCCAAATTCCCTACAGCTGGACTCTCTGACAACAGAGGAAAACAGGACTAAAAGCAAGCATTCGAACATCTGTCCAGTGGTAGATGCAGCACTAGTAACAGAAAATGTGGAACCTGTAAGGGCGACAGTCTGCGTGAGAAAAGCTTCTGGTATTTTAGCTTCAGGACGATTCGATTTAAGTAAAATCTCAATTTTAGGGCTTAGATTGGGACTAAGAATGAGCTAGACACATTCGTTTACGTTTGTTATACATTACTTGAGGGTTGATATAAACAAGTCCACAAATACCACACGTGTAGTCCTTTGAAATACTATTCGAATCCAGCAAAGGTCAAATGCGAGCAATGTATATAACAAATGTTCCTTTTTTTTTTTTTTTTTACTTTGTTCCTGCATTTGGGCTGTCTTACTTGCGATTCTCTCCCCATGGCCCTGACTGTATTTAGCATGTTGCTCGAGCAGCATGCAACTTTTCTGCTTCGGCGATCTGGTTTAAAAACGGAAATACAAAAAAAAATAGTATACGTAACCTGCCAATTCATTCAGACCATCAGTGGCATTTATAGTGCGAGATCTAAATCTATAGTGATGCTCCTGCAATTGTGGCCATATTTCTTTATTTCCATATACCAGCTGCGATTCATCCGTTGCCTGCCCTGTCAACCATGCATGTTGGTTGAAGTTTCGCCTGTGGCTACAGGCCATACCTCAATAAAGGCACATATAAACATTTATACTTCCTACGAAAAACACGCCCGAAAAAAAATTAAATAGAAACGAGCGCGCCGACAGCTAGCGTCGTCACAGCCTCCACAGGGCGAGTCGGGGAAAAATTCTCTCCTCGCCGTGACGTCACCCCTGTTTGCCGTAAGGGGGCGCCACGCAAACTTCTCGGGGCTAATAACACTTCGACCAGTTGACCGCACACGCTGTGACGTCACAAAACCGCTTAGTCACTTCCACAGCCCTTGAGACGCTTCTCGAGTCTGAACAAAAACAGCTATATCGTCTGCATATGCTAAAATTTTTACTTCGCACTTGTGTAAAGTGAAACCCCTAATGTCTTTACATTGAATGATGTAGCGGCAGAAAGGTTCCAAAGAAATCGCGAAAAGTAACGGGGATAAAGGACACCCCTGCCGTACTGAAGAAAGACCTTTTATCCGCTTAGAGACTTCTCTGTTAATTATCAACTTTGTTGAACAGTTTAAATAAGCCATTTTTACTCCTTCGAGAATGAAAGACCCGATTACTACGTGCTCTAAAATTTGAAAAAGTACGTCATCACATACACGATCAAAGGCTTTTTCCAAGTCGATTTGGAGCAGTGCGATTGTCCGATACTCAGCATCACAACACTCCAGCACACTCCTAGCTGTGTGTATTCGTGCAAATACTCCGGCCTTTAATTCCGCAGGTTTGATGAGGCCCTACAAGTTTCCAAATTACACTCTGCAGCCTCCTCGCTAACACCTTCATGAGAACTTTATAATCAACATTAGCAATGGTAATCGGTCTAAAGTTGCTAGTGAACCGTAGCTTGGAGGCGTCGTAACCATTCGGGATCAATACTGTATGCGTACACAAAAAGGAGCCCGGCAACCTATGATTCCGATAAGACTCATTAAAAACCCGATGCAACAACGGCGCGATTCCTGGTTTGAATTTCTTGTAAAAGGCCGCGCTCAATGCATCCGGTCCCGGCGATTTGCCTGCGCTTAACTGATCTATCGCTTTCTCGATCTCTGTTAAGCTGACTGGTTCTTCCAAAACTTGCTCGTCATCATGGTCTAATTGTGGAAGACTTGACAGGAATTCTGTCTCAAGACCCGTCTTTTTTGGTATTTTTTTTGTCCGAACAATGTTTCGTAGTATTCAACGAATGCACGCTGGATAAGGGCCGGATCGCTAGTCACTGTGCCTTCGTACTCCATTTCCGCTATCTGGTTTCCGCTAGCATACTTCTTTTCAAGGACAAGTGTCCGTTTGGTGGGCGCTTCCCCCAAAAGCAACCTCTCTGCTCGGGCAAGAACAATCGCCCCCTTATACCGCTTTTCATCAATTTGTTCAAGTTGCGCTTTTATGCTGCTTATATCATCTTTGAAGATTCCGGGTGTCCTTCCTTCCTCCACGTGCAGCCTCTGTAAACCCGCGCGAAGACCGTTTTCTACTTTTCGCTCTACACGCTTAATTTGACATGCCCTCTCTATCGCATCAAGCTTCACTTGTTTAAATAATTCCCACTCCATGCCGACTTCATTATCAGTAACACTGCTTGTTTGCTCCAGCCTACTTTGAACCTTTTCAGTAAATTGCTTATCGTCCAAGAGCTTAGCGTTTAGCTTCTCTAACTCCCAGGAGAAGCTAGAGCGGTTCTTGCAATGACCCACCATGAAAGTCACGAGGCTGTGGTCACTGAAAGACACGTAACTGACTGCATAACTACCACAGTCGGGCACAATGTCGACCGAAACATACGCTCTGTCCAGCCTCGCATGACTGCTACCTTGGTGGTGCGTGTAGATCACACGATTACCGGTTGACGTACATTGCGCTACGTCTTCAAGTTAGAAATCTTTAACCAAATTATTTAGC